CTACTACTACTTAGTAGGCTTTGCTGCTATGCAGTTAAATTAATGTGGTGGGCTTATTCTTTTCTGAAGTCTAGTTTTAAGAATAGTGGAAGTTACACTTTTTTTCTTCCTCCATTTCTGGCGCCCCCTGGATGTAGGCGCCCTTAGCATTAGCCTATACTGCCTATGCCACGGGCCGGACCTGCGAGTGGCTGTTCCTCAACAGAAATCAGTGATTTTATTTTTAAGTTTTTCCCCTACATGCCCTCTTCTTAAAACCAGATCTATCAGCACTGTTGGGTTGGTGGAGCGCTCTTTCATATGACCCTCAGGTCCGTCTTTATGTCATGATCCACTGCACTTTAGCAGGTGTGAGCTCAGTTGCTCGACTGCGGCTGCAGATCAGTTTAACCCAGTGAAAACAAAGGTTAGGCTATTTGGAGCATTCAAGGTCTGGCAAATAATTCATAAACCAGTTCGGTTATGAGAGAAAAACACTCAAACTGGAAGAAGGAACTTCTACAAATGCAGGTGGTGCGTTGCTATCTACTGGCCACAGGATGGCGCTCCTGCGCTCCTGGGCCTCAGTCTGCACGAAGGTGCAGAAACTGAACAATTACGGCCTTGAAGGTCTAAACGGTCTTCTACTTGTTGCATGTGAACAAAGAAAATTTTGTCAGTCACAGACACAAACTGGGCCGACCTGTCGTTTCCTCCATTAGTGTCAACTCACTACAGCTATTGTTAAACCAATTACAGAGGTGTTAATGGACGATGGAAGGCCTCTTGGCATGAAAACCGGCCCGCAGTGAGAGGATATGACTAAATGTATGTTGGATGGGGGAGGGAATGGGATTTTAAAGGAGCAGTACACCAATCAAAGATGCTCATTAAGAGCCAGTGTTTTCATCTTGGTGGGTCATGGCCAAAATCCCAGAGCTCATCCCTTAGCAAGTGTGTGGAGATGAGGCCAGATAAAGAAATCTGGGTGTGTTCGTTTGTTTGTTTTACTTTAGGATTCAAAGAGCCTAAGAACACTTTGTCCACTGTATAGTGATTATTATACTGAGAAAGAACAGAGCAGTGGAGCCAGTTGAGCACACAACTCAAAGTTAAATAAAGAAAAATCATGTGTTTTCTTGCAGGTGTTTTTCTTCCAGAGCTGCATGAATGTGAGGCTGTAAATGTCAATTCCCCAATGGTGACTGAAGGCAGTAAAAGTATAGCTGAGTGTCGTGCATATGAATCAACATCCAAATTAATAAACTAATGTTTGATTGTAAACAAGTAGCTTTTCTCTTGTTTGTCAGCAGATCTGAAACTGTTCTGGTTTTACATCAGAGGCCAGAGTTGATCCGCCTTGTCATCTAGAACTGGATCAACCATCCATATGAGAAAAGAGCTCATGTCTTTCAGGTTTAATTACATCATTACAGACACCGAGGTGATAGCTCATTCCACGCGTTGATAGACTTGACAGCCTTTTGCAAACAGCCGATAATCGCCCAGTCTTTACAGGTGATGGCCTGCTGAGTCTGACAGCAGGCCTGTGCTATCAGGCTGAGATCCAGCTGAAATGTGGCGATGGAGAGCAGCTGAAGACACCTAGAAGGTATTAACAAAATGCCTCGTGACTAATGGAAACGTCATGATTATAAATACAATTCAGACGCAGTTTTCTTGAAAGCGAGGTTAAGAGGTATCGCCAATAATGGATATTGTAAAATCTTTATGGAGATACCTAGCACGATGTTAAAAAGACACTGAATCGGACCTTCAACACCAGAGGTCTCTGCATATTTTGGAGCATCTGTGCGCCGATATTCCTTCCTGTTACTTTTAATTTCCCCGAGATCTTTTCTCACAGTCTAAATCCCGTCGACCTCCCGCCTGCGCATCAATTACATCTCCACTGAGTGGCCATTAGGCATAGGCATTGACATTCACAGGCTTCCGTCTGCACCCAGGCTTGATGTGTATTCCACGACACAGGAGTCCGGCCCTGTGCATTACACTAGGATTACATTATTTATTGTGGGCTGCTTCTCCCTGGTGTCGGGCCTCGAAGTTCATGGAAGGAGGCCTCTCACGTTCAATCTGAGCCAAATTTACGCACACACTGCGCAGGAGCATCCGTAAGCCAAACGGAAAAGAGCATTTGGAGCATTTATAGCTTGAATCCGCCTGATAACAATAAATGGGAGCCTACTAGGCACAAGGACTTTGTTTCATATTCATTTAATGCTATTTTTGGTGCACCAGAAGTAAAAGTCTAGACAAAAGTCCGCTTGAATCACTGTTTATCAGTGTGGTGGTGGTGGGGACTTGAGGTCCTTGCTGTTCTGTTTTTCTGATTGGGATCTTCTCGTGGTCTGATTTTCTTTTTATAGTCCAATATTTTCACGATAGTCCTGGTTTTTCTACGACTACCAAGAAAATATTTTATTATCAAAACCCAGAATCGGAAAAAAACTGGTTTTACTTCAGTGGTTACTGAAGCTGAGCCCACGGAGAACAGGCTGTTAAAAGTTTCTTGCACCGCAGAAGTGTCTATCACACACACACACACACACACACACACGTGACACATGCCTCCCCACGTCAATAAAACAGTTCAATATCGAGTAAAGCCTAATGAAATATTCTAAGTATATGAACCTTTTCGAGTGTATTTCAATACAAATTCCAAAAATACAGAACAATGCAAGAAATGGGCAAGAAAAAACGACCGAATGCGGTGTTTTAAGTCGAAAAGAAGCACATTTAGGCTGTTTTATCTCTTTATATAAAAAAACAATATATCACAACGGATTATGAACGTGTTATTAACTTCTGACCACACTGAAACACAATCCTAAATCTCGCTGCTTTATTAAGACAAAAAATCCACTGGGCTCTGTCACTGAAGGATTATGGAACAGTGCGTCCGGGTGGCCCCAGTGTAGCCGCCTGGCCAATATACAGCACACCAGGGGGCCACATCGGCCTTCAGCGGGGCCCTTCCTGGATCAAATGGGCGGGGCGGGACCCAGCCGGCCTTTATAAGAGGGCTCCGTCTAGGTTGGTGTGTATTAGCGCGCTACACCTCAGCCTGTCACAGGCTGCATCCCGAGGCCCGGTGGACACAAGGAAACAGGCCAGATGAAGAAGTCAGCATCTGCTGAGCCACAACGAAATTAAAGTCATTTAAGAATGGATGAGTGACTAAAAGAAATATTAACTTTACTATTCCCAGGAGCAGAACATCACGTTTTATTTGATTTCTTCCCGCCCCCCGCGTTTTGGCTCTAGATATTTTGTCCTTCTTTCTTGGCAAAAGAAGGAATCTGTTTGGATCCTCTCCAAGAACATTAAACTTTGTAAAGGATTTTACATTTATTTAGATTTTTTCAACTAATCCGGTCGCAGATAAGTTTTTCTCCTCCAGATATTTGTGCTGGGGATGTTGAGCTCTGTGAAGATGGAAACCCATGATCTGCCAGAGTGGAATACTTTCTACAGCGAGGCCAGTGAGGTAAGGACGCATTTACAAGTCAAAATAACAATAACAACAATAAATAAATCATACTGTTCTTGTTTTAATTTGCCTCAAACGGAAGAGTAAATCACCAATTCTTCTTGGAGTCATGAAAAGAAATGATGTCAAGATTTTATTTACGCACACTTTTAGCAGGACTGAACGAAAAACAGCTGTAATCCTATGAAAATTTATAAAATAATATTTTAAAGACTTTGCACTAAAACCACAAGCTCCTGGTATAGTATTAATCATTTAAATAATTAAACCGAGCATCAATGCGCCCCTCAACATTTTACAGGAATATTACAGTACAAGAGAAAAGAACCAAAAACTACAAAAAAAAATGTTATCTTTGTCAAAACGCCAAATATTTTGAAGTAAAATAGAAACTGTTTTCCACAAGCAATTAAAATTACTTCGATTTTACATTTTAATGAATTGTTAATACATATCGCCTGATATAAATTATATTAGGAATATCCAGGTTTTAACTTGGCACCAAGTGATTTGCTCGTCTCTAGCCTTTCCTTCCCCGTGTGTCGCGGCAGCCGCTGAAGTGTTGCGGCCATCA